CACTGCTCAGTATTAAGAGACAACCAGAAAAAAATAAAGGGCAGCTTTGGTTTGGAACAAAGTCATCATTTTGGAGAACCCTGAAAGGATCGAACTCTTGTGTCATTAATAACAATCAACCAGTGGCATTCTCGAGGCCAACTTTAGCCTGGCGCAAAGCCATAACTATGCAGAAAAGAGTGGCAATAGAAGCCATCACTAATAAATAATAATATTTAAAATACTAACCTTTCTATGTCCCGACGCAGAGGTGCAGTAAATTGTAAGCCTAGTCTGACGCAAGAATGGCGTAACCAGTGGAGATATATTTCACTGGATCATTCATGATTATCATTAATTCATATATATATATATATATATATATATAAAACCAACCAGCAAAAACTCTTGCACTCTCAACTGTAAGAGTGAATGTCCGAATAACTACAAAATAGCACATACGGAATTTATTTAATCGACCACAAATTAATTCCTCCACAAAAAGATTTTCTTCAAAGAACTAAAAAATATTAAGCATACACGTCAAAGAGAACATGGTATTTCCTCAAAGGACACTAAATATGTCAAACTCTTATATTGTAACCAGATGCATGCTAACTTCAAAAAGGATGAGAAAGTGATAAAAAAAATCTCATTTGTACCAATATATCTCCCATGGATCCCAATGAAAAATATAAAATTAATCATATATTATACAAAATACAATACAACCAATTTAATTATTCGTAATAATTCCTCTTCACCAACTGATATATTACGCAAAATCAACATTATATATCAATTCAAATGTCCCTTGAGAGAATGTACGACAGATAAACAAATATATTTGTTGGATATACGAGAATTACATTATCGAGACGTCTTAATCTAGACATGGGTCACCATTCGTCCATTGCAAGACATTTATGCCAACATTCCTGTCCACATTCACAGTATAGAAAAATACTGATTGACAACTATCCTACAGCAGGAAAATAACAAATTAAAACTACAGATTCTCGAAGCAATCTTCATTAAAAAAAAAAAAAAAACAGAAGCCGATACTGAATAGAATCAGCTATGAACACTGTAATAATTTTCTAAAATGCCTAGAAAAAGAACAGTTTGCACGCTTTAATGAGCGCTAGACTATGATATTCCAGCATAAAAGAAAAAATCTACGTTCTAATGAACGCTAAAGCATAACTGTCAGCTGTAGCATTTAAACGCAAAAGAAAAATCACTAATGGACAGGTTTCGCCTGACCAGTTGCAGCCCTGATGATGATCTCAGAAAGAGATCTAAAGTACTTGAGAAATAAAAGTGATGATGATAAAAATGAGCAGACAATGTTTATGATATGCTTAAAAGATAATGAGGGTTTCTATACGGAATACAGATTTGAATCCTGTCGGAGGCTGAATATTTTTTGCGAGATTTCTCGAATATTCAAGGTCGGTAAATTTAATTAATACTGTATAATAAATAAAACAGAGTAAGTTGTATCAATAAGAATAACGCATAAACAGAAAATATATTAAAATAGTTGTCGGTTTTACCCGTTACATATATGTTGTCATTGTTTATATTAGGTTACTTTTTTGGAGCAGAAATGAATTATCGAGAAGGGTCGTCGTGTGTGTGTATGTGTGTAACACGGCAAATTAGCTGTCAAAGTCTTGGCTTTTAAATCAGTTGAAATGTTTTGTTTTTGTTTTTTTTAATAGGTAACTAATTTGCCAGATTTATGTGCGGCTGTGACGATTTACCGAAATATTGGTTGGTAGAATTCGGCATTTCTTGAAGTCGGAATTATCCGTTTGCCGTAAAATCTGCTTCTAAAATTCTAATTCTTGTTACATCACAGAAGTAACTATCTCGACTATATAGACAAACCTTAATAACATGTAGATAATAAAATTAGTTTTTTTTTTCTTTTATTAATACATTATATTCTGCATAAAATATCCTGATTGTTCTTCGGAGTTCATATGTAATTATCTTAGCGAGTTACGTCACAAGTTCAACTGAAGAGAAACATGAGTAAGAAGACTGCGTCTTGCAAAAGATACATAATATTATTCCCTAAAAAACAACATTAAAAAAAATGTTCTTTTTACCTGGAACAGAACATTAATGACGGGAATCAAGAAAATATATCAGTCAGAACAACCGGAAAAAAAAAACACCAAAAACCCTTCTGTACCAAAGGAAAATATCCGTCTTGAATAGACATGCCGGTGGGAATTGTTCAACTTAAAAAGTAAAGGGGAGGAGGATTTTTTTTTTTTATTCCTGGAATAAAGTAATCATAGTGCAGAGAAAATAAAATATTATTAATAATAATATTAAAAGTATTTATAGACAAGCGCGTTTTAAAAAAGAAAAATGAAAAGATAATGTTTGACAATGTTCAACAGTATTTCAGCAGTATGTCAGTCTTCTTTAAGTTATGTTTAAAATGTCATACAAGTATAAAAATATAAAACAATGATGACGTCGATAATAATAATAAATATAAAAGCGTACCTTAGCAAATAAGGGTTGTGCCGTTGGAATGAGGAAACTGAAAGAAAATAATTTCATCGTTCCGAGACTTGTATTTGCTACAGGAGACTACATGCAGAACATGAGAATCCTCTTTTTCTTTCCTTTTCCTCAATAACAATTCGTAATTGATTTCTCGAGTTGATATTTCTATTTAGGATAGGCTATTAAAATACGTTTGAGAACCGTGACATAGATTCTTTCGTGATTTTCGACGTTAACCCACATGATTTGTTCAAGGACAATTTTAATGGCCTATTCTCTCAGTGAACATGTACAATTTGGTTCGATATTGACGCCAACTCGAGGCAACCTTAACAAAGAATGAAATAAATTTACGCTCTGATTCTAGGGTTTGAATATGGAGTGAGGGCGATGATTTTTATCGTAAACGGAAAACGTTTAGCAATTCAATCAAGAGAAATGTAAATATAAAAATAAAAAATAAAAAATTACATTCATACTCAGGTCTACGTGTTCTATTTAATTGAGCCTTAGAGGGAATAAATTTCATTTACATAAGAACATATATATATATATATATATATATATATATATATATATATATATATATATATATATATATATATATATATATGAAATTCCCATTCTGTCATCTACGTTTACATTCATTCTGCATTGACAAGTCTTTTTCTTCGTGATTTCCGAAGCATTTATAAAGTTAAATACAGAGCAATCCATTTACATTATACAGTAATAAACATTTCTGTCAGTAAAGCTTGCATTTTTGACCTTTGAAAACTGTTCTTTCTCATGCACAATCTATTTATATGGTACAAATCCTTAGCAATGTATTTAAGTTATTCCAATAAATATCCTATACACGTGATTAGCGTTTGCAAGAATTCTTGACTTTTCAAACGCCTTCCTACAATGCATTCCCCAGAAACCCTCATGGCATTCTATTTATATTATAAATATAATGGCCCAATTCTATTAGTAATATCTAAAGTAAATCCTTGCCTCTGACAGTCCGTTTCTTCCTTGTTTTCGATGCTTTTCTAAATGAAACCTTTATTCTGTTAGTAGCGCTTGCAAATGTTCCTGAGAGCTGACACTCCATTTAATGTATATTTTAGATGTACAAAATACAGATTTAGTTTCAAAATATGCTAATGATTCAACGTAAGCTAGTGCAAGAAAGGTTGAAAGCTAAGTATGGGGGGTTATTGATTAGTGATGAAATCTGTTGTCAGTGAGAAGGTAAATAGAATTCCACTTGACAATAAAATAAACTATAATGATTGTTACATTTCTTCGTTCAATGGGAATTTTCCATATATATATATATATATATATATATATATATATATATATATATGTGTGTGTGTGTGTGTGTGTGTGTGAAAATATATAGAAAATAGGAAAAGAACTCGTTAGGTAAATAATCCAAAGTTCTTTAGTAATTTTGTTATTATTTTTTAAAAAATAGTGCTCGATACAAAGTAGAGTATAAATATAATTATCTATTTAAAAATATGATTCCAACACGCTATATAAGCGGTCTCATGTTTCAAAACAAGAGCCGAAAACTTCAATATAATTATTTGAATTAAATTGAATTAAAGTACTAAGCTCTGTTCCATCTTCAAGCGAAATCTTTTTTGAAATAACTTATTTTTAAACAATTGCTCTAGCTGTTACCATAGAAATTTTGATTTTAATAATGAATATGCTTATAAAACACATAAATTTCAGAAATAAGTTATTCAAAAAAAAATTTCGCTTTCGAGTTCGAAATTTGACAACGGTTCCTTATGCTTACGTAGAAACCTTTCAGTAATGCTTCATTCCACTTCTCTCGGAGTTAATTAGAATTTGTCAGATATCTTAAACAACTTGGCTTGTTACCTTCCTGCCACAAAGGTCATCGGAAAATAAAGCGAGTGGGTGGACAAATTACTTTCCCATTATCACATTAGCTGAAGTTTTATTAATAGAATAGAGTTGTTGTTTTTTTTCCTTGCTAACCTTCCCAAGAACCAACATTTACTTATTAACAACAACAATAATAATATTGGCCATTTCCGTACAAAAACATTCGGTATCCATTGACCAAACAAATAGCCTTACCATGGTTTGAAATTTATATGAGCTTTATCTTAAAGGAATTTTGCAAAAAAATAGTTTTCTTAAGTCTACTGACTGTAACGCTCTTGCCAGTATTGATGGGCATTTCCTTACTAAGCTTTTGTTTACGTTCCTCTGGACAGTCAATATCTTGATTATATCATTATATTTTCCTTTATTTTATTTGTTGTTGGTGTTAGAATTCTTCAAGTCTTTTGTTATTTGGCTTAGTTCTTTGTGATTCTGTCGCGCGAGTCGGTAAATTTGAAGAGGGGGTTTGTCTTCTTTATGATCTTACAGGATTCATTCAATAGAAGCCACGGGTTTAGGGAAATGGTTGTATACAGCCGACAGTTTAGACATTTCTGAATGAGTTGAACGTCATGGCTGATATCAACAAGCAGACGTTAGTCGACAAGTGTCGATCGCCTATCAACAAGCAGACGTTAGTCGACAAGTGTCGATCGCCTATCAACAAGCAGACGTTAGTCGACAAGTGTCGATCGCCTATCAACAAGCAGACGTTAGTCGACAAGTGTCGATCGCCTATCAACAAGCAGACGTTAGTCGACAAGTGTCGATCGCCTATCAACAAGCAAGACGTTAGTCGACAAGTGTCGATCGCCTATCAACAAGCAGACGTTAGTCGACAAGTGTCGATCGCTTATCAACAAGCAGACGTTAGTCGACAAGTGTCGATCGCCTATCAACAAGCAGACGTTAGTCGACAAGTGTCGATCGCCTATCAACAAGCAGACGTTAGTCGACAAGTGTCGATCGCCTATCAACAAGCAGACGTTAGTCGACAAGTGTCGATCGCCTATCAACAAGCAGACGTTAGTCGACAAGTGTCGATCGCCTATCAACAAGCAGACGTTAGTCGACAAGTGTCGATCGCCTATCAACAAGCAGACGTTAGTCGACAAGTGTCGATCGCCTATCAACAAGCAGACGTTAGTCGACAAGTGTCGATCGCCTATCAACAAGCAGACGTTAGTCGACAAGTGTCGATCGCCTATCAACAAGTAGACGTTAGTCTACAGTAAATTATCAGTGAAGATTAACCAACATCACGAACGTACAATCACAAGTTCACTATCTTTTTGTTTTGTTTGTAAATGAATTGAAACAAAAAAAGTTTGACGTGTTGGACACATTCCACGAGGAGTGTTGAGCTTGATATGATGGTTAATAATTAGACGTGATTTCAAATTCTAGATGAAACGTTCACTTATCTCTAATTGTCTGCACCCCTCTTCTGTGAGTTTTTTAAAACAAACTTGTAAACATCTTAAATTAACGGGTAACTATTTGGTTTTGGTTAGCGATTTTCACGGCATATTTCCATTTGCGGGGGTCATTTAATGTTAAAATCATACTCTGTTGCGTAATATAGGTCGTTTAAACATACTAGTCTATAGGTAAATATTGGTCGGTTACATGTATCTGAATGTATTTAGATCTAACCTACCTGCCCCTGACGAAAATATTGGTTTATATAGATGAGTTCAGAAGCACCAACCTGGTAGGTGGAACCTTTTGGAGAAACCTTACCCGACTGCTACGGGATACAGTCGCCATATTCCAAAGCTTTCTGGTAGGGCAAAGGCTAACTCAGCGAGCAAGGTGCTGAGAGAAGCATATATATTCTACTGCAACTAGTAAGTACTTTGCAAATCAGCACTGCCCTCAGTACCAGTGTTTTACAAATGATCTCTCTCTCCCTCTCTTCCTCTTTCTAATGAAGCAATTTAAATATATTATCTAGTGAAGTTTCCCAGGGCGCAGTGACCAGTGGGAATAAATGAACAATTACGTTATTTCTCTTTGACCACACTGACCACCAGAGAGAAATTAACGTCAACCCCTGGAATAACCTCAGCGCGTGCCTTTAGCAATCGAAAACTGCTGAGACTCTCAAAGGCAAGCTAGGAGAATCCATGTTCGTATAAATTAAAGTAAATCGCCTTGACATGTAATTAGAAGACTTCTTCACGGGGGAAAAAGAGCTTTAATTTTCAACGAAGAATTCATAATGAGGGTCTTCAGGGTTGGATATTTCTTTGATGAGTACCCCAAGAGCTGATGTCTTTTACGTCTCAGATCACATTAGAGGAAAGTGATGGCAAACCTGTGCTGTGGGGTTTTTTTTAACTACTTTTCATATTTTTTTTTTATTAATTCCATTTTAAGGCTTAAAAGAAATATCTCGGAACAATTAATAATAACAAAAGCCAACGAATAAAATACGAGTTTAATTACGTTCACTTCAAAGTTATATTGTTTCCTTCATGACCAACATTTTTGCATGTTCCAAACCTCTACAATAATATCAATTAAGTCATTTCATATGACATTCGCTTAATTTTAATCTTCTACACGGCGCAATTTCATACACTTCCTCTTAAAAATCTATAAAAACGATATTCTTGTTTCTGTTAGCTACTGTAAAATGCTCATTTTTATGGCAATCAAACAGACCTTCATTAATTTAAATCCTCGTTCTCTTAGAAATGAATACAATACGGGAACCAGTAATAAGGAGTGTCAGAGAAAAGCGATAATAACAACAAAAATTTAAATATGAGCTCTGGTAAAACATGGAATGATAACAGCCAAAAATTGCAATATGAGCACTAAAAAAATGATGGCTGAGACATTAGGTTTATAATACCGAGAAATTCATATACAGATGTCCTCAAGGACACATAGAAGAGTGGATAAAGGCGTTGTTTAGATCCAGTGACAGGACCCAAAGAGTCTGAATTCAATATCTGGTTAAGTCAGGGGAGAACTTGCAGAAGGGGATTAACAGGAGATAACTGCTGACATCCATTAAACATGGTACGTGGAACTAGAACAGTCTACCCCAGTGAGCGATATAAAGGGTTCATTTCGACATTCCAACCACCTGAAGAAGGCCGGAGAGTACAACGGCTGAAACGTTGTAATTAATATGGCGACAAAGATGAGTACAATAGTCCGACAAATTTAAATAGTGTCCTCGTTCTTAATTTAATTGTCTTGATCTTATTCAAACACGAGATAAAACACTTGCCTGACACAAATGCTGTTAACTTCCACGTCAACAATGAACATGGATTAATAATAGGTATAAGGTTAATTCCTGAAGGTTCATTTCTCAGACAACACCACCCCATTAAACAAATAAAATGAAGCGTTAGGAACAGTCCTTAACAATTCAGGAAATGTTGAAGAGAGGCAATGCATGTAACTACTCCCACATACGTTGAGTCTCATGTTAAAAACCCCAATAGATCCCCAATTATTGCCTATATCTTAATCCAATCATTGAGTTTGAGTTGAATGTTCTGTAGTACCGTATGCAAATTAAATAGACAAGTATAAATAGAGAACAACTGGTGAACATAAGACCTATGCCTTGCAAACCCGGTTGCTTTTCAGGACATAGAGAACTGTACTACAACTACTACTACTACTACGCAGACAGATGGGCAAAACATAACATATTCACTTCTAGCAGATTTCATATTTTCTATTCGACGAAAGGAGCTAAAAGAAAATATTCCCTCTTTAAAAAAAAACTGAAGAGCTCAGAATATATTGACGCTGTAAATCTAACACCAAAAGTCGAAGGCTGATTTGAGTAACGAAAGAGGTCTTCTAAAAGCTAAGCAAAGTACGGGAAAAAATCGTTAGAAACAAAGTAAAAAGTACTGATCTGATATGCAATATGAAACCTCCATTATCATAGACAATTTTCTCCCAGATTAAAAGACGTTTTGAGGTAACAAAGATGTGGTTCAACAGAAGGATGCTGAGAAGACCTTAGACAGGACATGTGACCAACGAAGGGATTTTAAGTAAAATGGAAAAAAAAAACATATTCAGAATAAGAAAGGTCACTTGAAATTTCTCAGACACATAAGAAAAGAGAAATCGATACTCACTGGACATATTGAATGATCAGCCGTACAAATAAGTTGTGAGAACTACACACATACAACGGCATAGCATAAGATATCGTGACAACGCTACAAATCTCCTAGAAAAATAATTACACCTTGAATATGATTTTTTGGAATGGCTTTTCGAATCATGGCCTTGAGTCAGATTTATTTATTTCTAATAAATTCAAGTCTTCCTCGTATTCTGTTGAATTCTTTACTTAACAAAGAAATAGAAATTTGAAAAGAAAATATGCAAGAAGTCTGCCGTCCTTGAAGTCAGACAAAACTATAGGATTCTGTAGATAAATATGAGATATGAAAGTCGAAGAATTAAAAGGTACTTGGTGCCATTAGCGGATCGAATAAGATTATCGGTATTAATAGAAAATCTTTTTGGAAGACAGCCAGAAATACAATGAAGGCTGAAGTACATTGTCATCAAATATACGTAGACTAACATCGACTATATATATATATATATATATATATATAAATTCAATAACAATAATTTTTCATTAGAAATGAAAAGTAAGGCTTTCATAAGAAATTTCTTCGGACAACTTAAAAGTTTTTTTGTCAACGACGAACAATTTATTCACTTATTTTACAATGCTATAAAATCGTGAAATGGGTTCATTAGAAGGAAAATGGAAGCATTGACGAGATATTCAATATAAAAGCAATCAAAATAAAAAGGAGTGTCTTTTGAATTATATAAACGAAGGCGAAAGGAACTGGGTATACACTGGGAATTTAATGCAGACCATTTCCTAAAAACTGCAAATGTCAGTTCCACATAGCTATTTAATAATGTTGATTTAGTATGGCTTAAGGCCAATATTATAAAGTTCTACGTTAGGAATGAACTCCCCACACTATCATGAAAAACTGGTATAACATCTTGGCAATCATTGCACTACGGAAGGAAACTTCTTTTCTTTTCTTTTTTTTAAATATCAACAGATCTGAGATTGGCGTGTGAACGAAACCTTTTAATAGTTAATTATCTTTTCTGCTTTTGTTATTTTATTCGTTGGCACAAGGCCACAAGAATGGGAGCTTATTAGACAACGAGATATCATTAGATTAATGAGAGGTCTAAGAAGACTAGTCTGCAATGTTAGTTACGCGCTATAGTTCGCTCTGTACCTTTGAAAAACTTTTACCAACACCAATCTCCCAAGATGGTTTCCAAGTATTTCCCCCCTCCAAGATGTCTGATTATTTATTCAGATTTGGGGAATTATGTCTAGCTGAAATCTTTTCAGTAAATATATATTTCTATACAATTAATGGGTTTTATGTTTTATTCCGAGATATTTTTTATTATTTCAAACGTTTGAAATAAAAATATGTCGATTTAAAAAAATAAAATCCATTAATTGTATAGAAATGGCTTCTTTAACGTTTCGGTTACGAAACTGAAAAGATATGTCGTCTAAAGAAAATCTGAACGAGTGAGTGTGCTTTAAAAGCAAATAACACCTTGCCTGATTGTGAAAGGGCGGATCAGACTGCAGTTTCTTCTGCAAAGGAGGACGCAGGTTCGAAACCAATCGGATTAGTTTTCGCCTGTGCGCCGGCCGGTAGACGAAATAAATACATTTAAAGATAAAATATATAATTAAAAAAAAACGAAGCATCTATTCAAATTCAGATATTCACTAAAAATAATATTTGAAGTAATTATATATATATATATATATATATATATATAAATAATGGAATCTCCCCGTCTTTTTCGGCGTATGAGTGTTTTTCAGGGCAGTTTTTATATTTATGTCTCATATTAGACAATAATCCTGCAAGGGATTTGCCAACAAGTCCTCACAAGGGAGATGCTGAAGGTTTGACAGTCATATGATCTGATGAATTAGCGCGAGATTTAGTGTTGCTTCTTAATTCTCTCAGATGGTTGAGACGATTCTTTTTCAAAGTTAGTTAAATCTCCGTAGCAGGTGTTTCTCCAGTTTGCTCGGTTTTCAAACAGCAAGTTCGAACTCCTCAAGAGGGATGTTTTCAGCATTTAAATCGTATTTAAGTTTCTCCTTGAAGCGTAACCAGGACGGCCTACATTACGCTTACCATTAAAAAGTTGGCAATACAAGGGAATT